CATACCACTAAAATCAGCAAAGTTAACCGAAAAACGAGAAAAATACGCTCTGAGGACCTTTCATAAACTTTCAATGACCCTCCCCCCCTATAACCAATTTTTTGGGAACTTCTCTAGTGTAAATTTTCTAATTTTTTTAATATGTGTAAACAGAGATGGGCGAGTACACAGATTTCTTAGTACGAGTACTAAAGATCGAGTACGAGTATTTTCTGAAAAGTGCTCGAATAGTACTCGATTATTTTTTACTCGAATATTTTTTTTTCTGAAGAAGCCAGTGAATCCGAAAAAGTTTCCAAATAAATCGATTTTTTGATACGCAAATAGTAAAATAAAAAGGTCACTCTTTTTTTGGGAAGTACTCTGGTATTTTTTGGAATACTCGTTAGAAAAAGTTCCGAATACGGGTAAGACTTCGAGTACTAGGGATTTTGTACTTGAGTACGAGTATACTCGTACTCGCCCATCTCTGTGTGTAAAGCAGAAAAACAATCACTATTTTTGTCCATTTTGAAATGCAACCTATTTAAAATATGAAAAAATGTACAAATAGTGTCCCTATTTCACCGAAAATAAAGAAACTTCTGTCTGACAGAACTTTCTTTATTTTCGGTGATGCATATTTCATTTTTTAGATCCTTGTGCAGAGCTATATAAACTCTTAAAAAAGAATCGTAAAGCTTTTGACTGAGAAGTATTGACGACAAATATGATGGCTGTGCAAACAAGTTCCATATGGAAATCTAAAATGAAAAGTAAGATAGGAAATCTAAGAACACAGAAACTTTGAAGATGTTTTGAAATTCTGTTGCCAGCTTGTTTCTTTATTTTCTAGATGACCCGTTGATTCACCTCTTTTGTTTCAATGAGTTCTGATTGGCTGACTTCATTATTCTAAAAAGATTATCACGGCCTCTTTAATAGTTAACTCTAGGATGGGTCGCTGGATTTCTTCACCAATTATTTTATTGAGGCTCACGGAAAAAGTAGCTTTTCAAATCGGAAACATATTTTAAAAAATCTTTTTGAGTCAGTAGTGTTGTGCACGAATGCTTGCTCGACCAAATGAGATGTGGCAGACTTCCTCACGATGGTTCGTCGACGAGATAAAAAGTGTTACCTGAACTTGAGAAAATACAACAGCGTGTTTATTTTTCCTTGTTTAAAAATACATTATTATTTAGAATGAACTCGATATTCATAATCCGCATAAAATTCTGTATCAAATGATGTATTTTCATAGAGATTTCAGAAAAAAGTTTGTTCGATCCTTCAAAGAGATCCTAAGCTTAAAACTTAAAAAAAATATGAAAGTCAGTTTTTTATAAAAGTGAATGAGCCGTTTTGTTCAACTTAATTGGATGCTGATTCTAACCATTCGTTCAAAATTTGGGATAAGGAAAAACGTACCTATCTTATCACATCCTTTAGTTCTTTGAAAAAAAGTGGTTTTTGACTTGGTGGTTTTGACAAAACTTATTTTAAAGATAGATAAATATCATAGGCTGTGTAAGTTATTGTTAATGTTCAAAAAAAGATGCTAAAATTAGGTGTCTGCCTGTACGAGTTGCTTTAGAGAATAGTGACCCAGTTTTAATTAATACATGGTTTGTTGTTCTTAAATTATCCTTCATGTATAACTGTGCCATTCGTATGTGTAAACACTCCCATACCACACATTTTAAGCTATACTTGCGGCGGAAAGCTTATAAAATATCTTGTGGAAAGTGACGGAGCAAAAATAGAATGATTTTATTTTAACTTCTCTGTGTTCAATCTGAACTTGCATCACTTTTCGTTCCGTTTATTAAGGGAGTAAAGTACAAATAAAAACAATAGTCGTTTTTAATCTTCGTCCTTATTATTTTTTTCTATCATTTTCTTGTTCAGTGAAACATAACGCCATATTTCTTTGTCTTGCTCTTCCTGCATGGGCTACAAAATCATTTATGATAAGTTTAACAGCTTCGGATGTTAATTCGATATTCAATATTCAACACTTAACACATGTCTCAAATGAATCATTACTTCAACGATTTCTTAACCAAGTTTTCATACGGCGTAAGGTACTAAACGATCGTTCAGCTTCATTCGAGCCAATTGCGAATGTAGCTATATCTGATATAATATCTGATATAATTTGTACCACTCAGATGCTAGTTCACTACCATCGAAAGCTAAATGTTTCACTATCGACGTTATTGCTGATGTGTTTTTAACTAACACAATAAATGTTTTTACGTCACTTTTTAATTTATTAATAGCTAATAACGGTGGATTGGTTAATTCATATATTTCTTTGTCAACACTAACATGTTTATACATTATTCGAGCACAATATTTTTGAACAAAGGGATAATTGACTAACTGATCGGCACTCAGTTTAGATGGCCAAGAAAAAACGGACAAATTATCAATTAATGCTTTTGTTTGAGTATTAAATCTGCTGTTTAAAGCTTCTGCTACATGTTGGATAAACTATTTTCCAGTTGTCAGTAGTTCATCTTCATTAATATTTGATGTAGTAAATTGTTTCCATGATCTTGTTGAACCAGATGTGTTGAAAATTGTTGGTGAGTATTGCTGAATGTTGATTATTAACGATCGTAAAAAATCAAAGTCAAAGTTATACACAACATCTTCAACTGCTGCTATGGCAGCGTTGACTTGCAAACAGATATTGTCGAGGCATGAATCGCAGTTTTCTAGTTGTTACAGAAATTTCATTACTGGTGTCTCGCATTAAATGTACTTCAAACACAGTGATTGGCATCATAAGATCGAGAGCATAACATCGTCCGTCTGGTGAACCTTCCATTTGCTTTGTGACATTGTTGATAACGCTACCATGATAGATATATAATGTTTACACGTAAACTTTTAAACTTAACAATTGTGTTTGTGAATCATTCTTTCGAGCCTTTTAGCCAAGTTTGGTGGTAAAAACATCGGCCGCGAGCGGTTTTCTTCCCAATTGGAGCCATCTTTGGACAAATAGATCACTTTTGCATGCTAGTTACTTTCAAAAAACATGCTATTACGTAAATCGTTATTGAGGAACGTTGTTATTATTCCAAGATGTGCCAAAGGCAGCTGTTTGATCAAACATGTTGATGTGTTCGCTCTGTCCGTAGACTTTTCTTTCTTAAATTTCTTCCACTGAAGTAGTACTTCTTCCATTTTGATTGCTTCAAGTGGAATATTTGTAACATACCGCATTTATTTATAAACTGGCATGCATCTTTTTCGTTTTTCATTGTTACAGGCACACATACATATTTTAAAATCGTTTTCGTAATAATGTGCTAAAATGCGTAAGGCGCACCAAATCCGAAATTTCCCCATCATTTTACTTTGGATTATATTGTACATGCTTCGATAGCGCTGCCAGAGATTAAAATCGCCTAGCTCAAATTTCAAAAAACGTAAATCCTGTGTAAACCATAGAATTTTCATTTTGTTGCTGCAGGGGCCCAGAACTAGACTGTAGAATCCATTGTGTAGACAAAATGTAGACAAATCATGCAAGTTCTTATATCAGAAATTAGAAGTCAATCGAATTTAGCGTATCCGAGATACTCAACTTCGAAGATTTGAGGTTGTCAAAAAATTCCCAAATTAGAGTTCGATTATCTCGTAAGTTACACGTCACATCTTGTTCAAAGTTTTTCTGTCAATACTTGTTCACTCGCACTATCATCAGTTATCCAGCTCTCTTCTTGGAATCAACAAAGACCAGACGTGCAAGGATTTCTCGTAAACCGGTTTTCCATGGAACCGGAGTTTCTTTAAAATGTGTTTAACTATATAGTCACATAGTCCGTTTAATTGTGAACAAAATGAGAAGTCGCGCAGGTCAGTTTTCCATCAGCGAAAAAAGTAGTTCGCAAAGTCGCAGTCAATCGTTTCCGAAAAAGTTGCTTTTTCTCACCGGTAAGTCGGTACTTTTAGCAAAATTCTTATAAGTCTGAGAAAAGAATTAATAAATAACAAAAATTCAGGTTTTCACGATGATTAGGTCTATTATCCCTCAACACTCGATCAACTATCATACATTCGCTCAATCAAAAATTCAGAAAGGAACAGGTACTTGTAAGCAAAACAGATAAAAGTAAAACGCTATTTATTTCTGATTATATTGTGATGAAAAAGCAAAATCATGAACATACGCAAAATATTCCAATATACCAACTATTAGATTTTAATCCAATTATCCTTTTAATGAATAAAAACACGATCTTTTTACGAAAATTATTCTTCAGGAAAAATACTACTACCAGTAAATGGTGGTAGGTTAACGCTGAGCAAACACATGCTTTCTTTCACTTTGTCTTCCAAAATAGTTGAGAGCTTGTATCGTGTTTGTATATTTATTACTTTATTAATTTGTAATTTGAGTTATCCGCACTGTTCTGGTGTTAAAATCATCTAGGGCGATCACAAAATATGTTTAGCGTTGCTATTACTGTTCTTAACATTAATTCAGTACAGAGAAATAAACACATCTGATGTACTACACATATTCTTAACATATACTATGGTTTGTGTTTCTTATCAGTTCAAGTGATATGTAGATCTGATTCCATCGATAGTTCATTAGGGTTCATATTACTAAGGAACGCCAAGCAAGTGTGTGGAATTAAGACGAACTTTGTTTAAGTGTCAATGTAGTTTTCAAACATAGCTGTGAAATTAGTTGTGGCGATGTTCATCGTGTAAGCTTATTCCTTTGTTTCTTTTTCTGATAACTTTAACAACAGTGTGAGTGTCTCTTTTTTCAAACGAACATTTGACACTGTCGTCACATTTCGAAAGAATTTTGCTCAAAAGAAGAAGTATGTTTTAATGTAACAAAGAAAGAATGAAATAAAAAGCTGATTGTAAAAAACAGACTGCGCGCATTTTATTTTTTTAATAGAATTACCTGGTAAATAACAGAGAAAGAAATTATAACACAGTTCGAAAATAAACATCAAACGATTCTCACCTTTGTAACAGATATGGCTGCTGGATATCCCATCACAAATATAAAAACCATAGCAGAAGAATCAATAACAGTTCGTTTTCAAAATGATAATTTGGAAACATATACACTTATCTGGTTAGACAAAAACGTGAATGAAACTGAGGAAAATCTCAATACTCAAAAGAAGCTGCGAGCAGCTATTAATCAGTTGAAAGTAATTGATGATTGTAATAAATGTGTTAATTATTTGACCGATATTAAAGATCAGAAAATGGTTTTGATTGTTTCTGGGAGTTATGGGCCACAAGTCATCCCTGTTGTACATGGATTAAAACAATTGAATGATATTTATGTGTTTTGTGTCGATAAGAAGAGTAATGAAGAATGGTCAAAAGATTATGAAAAGGTAAGGTTTAAAATAAGAAAAAGCTTTGAACACTTTCCGAACAGAGGCAGAGACATTTATTTTTCATTTATTAATTTGTTAAGGAGCAAATGACTGACCACCACCAGGATCCTTATTCCATAAGCTCGCAAGAAGCACGAATAATAAAAGTTACTATAAACACATAGGGCGCTACTGAAGTTCGTGGCAACTATCCTTCACAATATATGTATCTATCTAACGAAGACAAAAATGATCCGAACATTGTATTTTAACAAAAGTCATTTTGTGCTACTAGGTCAAAGGAGTTTTCACTGATTCAAAACAACTGATTGCCGAATTGTCGAAGAACCAACGAATTCGTGAACGAACGGATGATACGATAGGTATGAATATTTATAGTCGAGTAACTACTGGCAGTGCTCAACAGCAGAGAGATTCACGAAATGCGATGTTCATGTATTTCCAGTTATTAATTGACATTCTATTAGAAATCACCGATCAAGATTCGAAATCTAAGCAAGATTTAATTGATCATTTTAAACAGGTATATGATGGAAATGAAGTGGAAGAGGAGGTTATTGAAGAGTATGAACGTGAATATGAGCCACATAAAGCGATTTGGTGGTATACACGGCACACATTTTTATCTCGAACCCTTATAAAAGCACTTAGAGATTCGGATTACAACGTTCTCTTTGCCCTTCGATTCTTCATTACCGATCTGCATAAACAATTAGCTGAAGAACACGAAACATTTCGACGTTCATATAACAGTGACGATCCTATTCTTCGTGTTTATCGTGGGCAAGCGATTGCCATCGATGAACTAAATTTGATTCGTAATAGCATTGGTGAATTCTTGTCAATCCAAAACTTTTTGAGCACAAATACCGATCGAGAAGTTGCGGCTTTTTTTGCCAAACAAGTTACGCCCACATCTGAACTAACACGTATTGTCTTCCAATTTAATATTGATACACGCGCCCTGACGAAACCGTATGCAGACATAAAACGCTTAAGTTATTTTACGGACGAAGATGAAGTTCTGATTATGTTGGGATCAATTTTCAAAATTGAACAAGTTGAATATAATCAACGTGAGAAAACGTGGACTGGTATGTTATCGATGTGTAGCCAAGATGAGAACGAACTGACAGATTTAATGGCACAGTTGAAAGAAGAAACGAACAACGGAGTATGCTCTCTTGGCTACTTACTCTACCGACAGGAAAGTTATGAACAAGCAAAGAAGTATTTCGAACAACTGTTGAATGAATCATCAATCAGTGATTTCGATAAAGCATATTGCTATCGTGGACTCGGAGCTGTTACTATTGAACTCGAACAGTATGATGAAGCACTCGTCTATTATCAAAAAGAACTTGAATTAGAAATGATAATGGATCCTAGTCGTGATGATGTAACTATTGCTCGAACTTACATGTATACTGGTGAAGCTTACTTTAGAAATCAAGATCTTGACTTAGCATTAGAGTATGAACAAAAAGCACTTTCTCTTCTACCTGATAATCACATTGATCGTGCCACAGTTTATGATATAATGGGCGGTGTTTATCGGCGCAAACGACAGTATGAGTTATCTCAGGACTATCATAAAAAGGGTCTGGAAACAGCACTATTACCTAATAATGATTCTTCTGTTGGTATAACATACACGGCTCTTGGAAATGTGTGTGACGACATGGGTAACTATCAAAAAGCAATCGACTGCTATAAAAAAGCATTAGCTATTTACAACAAATCTTTACCACTAAATCATCCACATATTAAGTTAACTGAAGATATTCTACGTGATACAATACATAAATTAAATCAAAAACAATAGTGTATTTTAAGTTACAGGCGTAAAAGGGTGTAATTGTCATTCTATCAGTATCTTGTTGAATTCTTTATTCTGAATTTGTATATGTAAGATTTTGCGGATTTGGAATTCAAAATGAGCATCTCTCTTGTGTTCTATAAGTCTCCGATACTTTTATTAACTATAACCATCGAACTTGCTACTTTCCTTTTTTCCGATCTATATCTAATACTTATGTGACTATGAAGAACAAAAACGCCTTTTGTTCAACCATAGTGTATTCGAGAATTTCGAGCATGGAGTTGCTCAAGAGAAACAATGAAGTTCTTGGGAAGAAACATCGAGTTTCTCAAAAAAAAATGATGAACTTCTCGCGAAAAACCACGCAGTATTTCAAGAGGAAAAACAAAGTTCTTTGGAAGAAACGTCGAACTTCTCAAGAGAAATGATGAAGTTCTCCTGCAGAAACAAAGAGTTTTTCACGAGAAAAGATAAAGTCCTCGTGAGGAAAGATCGATTTTCTGAAGAGGACAGATGAAGTTCTCGAGACAAAACATAGAGTTTCTCAAGAGAAAAGAAGAAGTTGCTGTGAAGAAACATCGCGTTTCTCTGGAGAAATGATGAAGTTCTCCTGAGGAAAGATCAAGTTTCTCAAGTGGACAGACGAAGTTCTCGCACAGAAACATCGAGTTTCTCAAGAGAAATGATGAAGTTCTCGTGCAGAAAAATGTAGCTTTTCTTCGAGTTTCTGAAGAGGACAGACTAAGTCCTTCGGGAGAAACATCGAGCGGCTGAAGAGAAGTTCTTGTGCAGCAACATGGAGTTTTTCACGAGAATAGATGAAGTTCTCGTGACGAAAGATCGAGTTTCCGCTGAGTAGTGATGAAGTTCTCTTAAGGAAAGATCGAGTCTCTGACGAGGACAGACGAATTTCTCGCGAAGGAACATGAAGTTTCATGAAAACTTCACCCTTTCTCGTGAAAAACGCTGTTCGAGAACTTCTCTTCATGGCACCTATCTATTCAAAGTTATGCAAACGGCAGCAAAGGATACTAAGACTTGTTCGCTAGTACAAAGTGGAGAATCTAGTCATTATTGGTCGCGGATTATTCTTGGTCTTGTCGTATGGGTTGTTTTTATTGCCATTATTCAACTCTGCTGTTGCATTTATCGCAGCTGCTATTTTGATCAGGCTGTAACGAATGTTTTCTATCGATGGTTGACCAAAGATAATTGCAAGACAATGCCTTTGGTCAATCCTTTAGTCTCATCAAAAAATCCCAGACAAGCAGAACGTAAGCCGCTATATAGGGAAGCAAATGAAAGTACTGTGCATATTAGACGTAGCGATGAAAGTTTGTCTCTGGTTGAATCGAGTTATTTATCTGGTAAAAGCATTGATAACAATCCAGTGATATCAAAACGTGTTCAAGCATTGGATTCATTTCGAGGACTTGCTAATAAGGTGATGATATTTGTCAACTATGATGGTATGTTTATTCTTCTGCTTTTTTATCTCTATAATTCTTTTTCGGTGTGTAAAGGCGGTGGCTATTGGTTTTTTCATCATGCAAGTAAGTCATCTGAGAGATTTTCCTTTGTACAGTTGACTATATAGTTCTTCAATTTGGAATGGATGGAATCTTGCTGATGTTCCCTTTCCTTGGTTCGTATGGCTGATCGGATTTGCGATTGTTCTCTCAGAACGATCATTGCGCGCAAAAAAGTTCGAAAGCGAAGTATTCTATTAAAGATTGTCGACGAACAGTCATACTTTTCTTGCTTGGTAAAAATAAGACTATTGTTTGCTGTTCAACATCGTCTTCTTCACATTTATGTTTCACTCGCAATCGAGATAGACCAATGTTGGAAGATATTAAAATCCTCGGTGTTCTCCAGCTATTAGCCTTGTGTTATTTTTTTACGCTCATTTGATTTCTGCAAGCAGATTGATCCAGGCAAAAAGCTCATTGGAATTGCTTTTCGTTTCAAGAAAGCATTCGACACCGTTCCTCATCAAATATTATTAAAGAAATTACCAGAGGCTAGTGCTACTGGTCCTTCGCAAGCTCTTTTTTTCATACTTGACAAAGCCAAATCAGCAAGTTTTAGTGTTGGCGAAATCTTTTTGTCAAATGTTCATGCAGCATGACGGATGCCTTAAGACATCCCTTAAGGCTTCTTTCGAAGCTCGGTCTTAGACCAGGTTTGCTGATGAATCTGATGTTAAAATATAAAAGAAATATGACTTAAGTGTGATACAAATTATAGCTACTAGAGCAGAGTAGATTCAGTATTACACTTTCTTGAAACGAAAAGCAATTCCAATGAGCTCTTTGCCTGGATCAATCTGCTCATAAATTAAATTAGTTATATATCAATTAATGCGCCAATTGTATCTGATTAAGGGTTAAACCAAATTGCTGAGAAGAAAAATCGTTGTTTTTATTTTAGAAATCGATAAATGACGATAAGGAATTTCTTCAGACACTTTATTAGGCGTGTAGCAACAAATGTAAGTGTTAAAACTTTGGTCAAAAAAGATACATTTTACATTTAAAATGTTTCTTTTATCAACTGCGCCAGAATGCATGAAGGACGCACGCTGTCTTTTTGCTTTTTTGTCTTTCCCTTCTGTGTATATTCTGTGCGCTGAAGAACACTTCTGACATACATTTATATACAGAAGGGAAAGAAAAGATGGCGTGCGTGACGCATATAAGTGAACAGGTGAACGCGTATAAAGTGAACAGGAAGAAAATACATCGTCTTGTATATAGTACTGTACTATCGTGCGGCATGATTCATGCTTCCCTAGTCGAACATCTTGGAACCAAGATCTTGACATCTTAGATTTTTTCGAAAAGATCTTGGCAAGATCTTTGGTACAAGATGTCAAGATATTTTTGTTCCTAAGATCTTGCCC